GATAAGAGTCCGAACTGAAAAATGTAGGTTTATGATGAGGGAAATATTATCATGGGCAGAAGAGCAAAATTATGGAAATCATACTATAGAAGCAAGAGTGAAATTATACGAATGCACAGTTTTACCTTCTTTCCTAAATAACAGTGAAACATGGACTAACTTAACTTAAGGAAGCAGTAAAAATGTTGGAGGATTTCCAAAATGAGTGCCTGCACAAAATAATAATCACGCAGAAAATGCAGAAAAATCTACCGAAAGGCATTGAAAGACGATGAAAACTCCAAAGAAAGATACGGAGAAATTAGTAAAAATATATATAGTTTCTATACGTAAATCGTGGTAAATTCATTAAAAACGCATTATTTTATTGAAAATCCCCATATTTACTTATAAAACATCCAAGAGATGGCGCTGTGGCATGTAAACATTGGCTCCGAACATTCCAACCTCTGTCGTGCATGTGCTCTGTTTTGCTGAATTGTTCAATGAATAATGCACTCGTTCACTTCCGACAGCGAGTGAAAATGCAGAAAATTCTCTTCGATGCATCGGCCGGGCATTTCGTTATTTACGAAAAGTAAACAGGCTGGGGAAAGACAGTAGGTACAGGAACTGGTAACGTCGGTCATGCCCCATTCATGTCCATCAACGAAGAAGGCGGGGCTTATTCTGATTACGGAGATGTGAAAATGCAACAGAAGGACCTAGCGCAGTGCGCTAAACAGCGTGTTATTTTCGTATTTGTGCCGAACTCTATCGTAGGAAACCGTTCTAGCCTAGCAGAATGCCCTAGTTCCTGAGATCGGCGATTTGGTGCTCTAATGGTATTATATACCTAGAAATTATAATAGAGAGGTGCGGCGTAGACTGTGATTGGAAGACATAAAGTGTCAATCCTCGGCGCGCCTCGGCATCATGGCCGCATCACGTCAAGCGATCTCCATTCATGACAGGAAAACAAGATTGAATAACTTTCTAGCCCACCCTCCTGCAAAGGCTTTGAGCACAGAGTCTCTGAACACATTCTGCGTCTATTGTCTAATAATAATATCAGGAGTTAATAAAGACAAAGGAGTTTGACACGTATTTGGTACTGATTTCACTACTTTTTGTCGTACGTATTTGTCTTTATTAACTCCTGATAATATTCCATCTCGTGTTTACAGGCATCGTCAGCACAGGGACTGAATCAAGAAACCTCTGAGGGTGGATCGACGCCTACCTGTGCTGACATCGAAACACCTAGATCAGACAGCTCGTGGTTCAGCGCCATAACCATCCTAAAGTTTCTGCTGTGGATCATTCTCCTGGGATTGTTCATCGAACTCGAATTTGCCGGCGTGTATTTAGTCGCGTCGCTATTTGCTTTCGTCTACCTGAACACGCGGACCGGTGTGAGGGAAGGACCCAGCGCCTACTCTGTGTTTAACAGAGACTTTGAACGCATTGACGGCACCTTCACCGCCGAAGAGTTCGATCAACGAATCAGGCGGGGCGGATTCATCTGAAATCTATCCTACCACGAAAGAACTGTCCAATCTGAATTTACGTATATACGACTAAACTTAGAACTTTGGTGACCGTCGGCACTATGGCGCAGATAATTGAGAAGATTCCCGACATTCTCGGCACGCTTGTAATTAATGAAGATGGCGCCGTTATCTCGTCTACGGGAGAACTCCAGAACGAGGAACATGCAGCGAAGTCTGTGATGAGCATGCTTCAAGCCAGCAGTAGGTACGCCATTTAAACAGTTAAAATTTTGCAACAGACGTAGTCTCAGGGAAGTGCATGTGCAGTGACACATTTTTGCATGCGCATAAAAAAACAAGTAAATAAATTCATTTCCATGCTAGTTTATATGCATGTATACACGTTCTTGTTTTCATTGTAAGGACACGATGTCTTTAAAAATTACATTATCATCAGTCCTGTCATCTACTTATTGTTTTTTTTCAGAGGTCAACTAACATCTGATGGTAGTCAGCAGTTTAAGCGCATGTCAGTGGTATTTGACACCTTCATGTACGTCGTGACCTTGTCCAACAAGCGCGTGTACGTCGCAAAGCGTGGGTACAACCCACAGGAGCCTGTTCTTGCATAGATCAACAACCTCTCCCAAGAACATAAGGCTGGCTATTCCTCGCCTTTTCTCTCTCGCGTCTCCGGAATAATTTGAGTTACGCATAAGCAGTAGGTGTGCGCGAACTTAAATGCTATCAAAGAAAAACAAATGCAGTGCTGTCTACTTTTGACTCGCCACATCTCACATCTTTTCGCTCTGCCGAGACAATAATAGCATGAATCCTTGCCCTACGGTATACAAGACAATATAAGCGTGAACCTCTGCCCTACGATATCCACCATCGCCGGCAAATAAAGAATTTGCCATCAGCATCCGATCGCAGCTGCCGAAGATGGCGGGCAACTACTACTTTGTGATGGTCGGTCACCACGACAACCCCGTTTACGAGATGGAGCATTCGTCGGCGTCGCGCAGCGACGCGAAGCGGGAGGACCACCGACATCTGAGCGAGTTCATTGCACACGCGGCGCTCGATCTCGTCGAGGAACAACTGTGGACGACGAACAACATGTACCTGAAGATCGTCGACAAGTTCAACGAGTGGTGCGTTCGTTTTTGACGATGTTCTCACTGATAGCTTTAGGGTTCATCGCATGATGCGTTCGTTTCAATGATGTTTTCCCTGATAGCTTAGGGGTTCAACGTGTGGTGCGTTCGTTTTATGTTGTTCTCCCTGATAGCTTGGAGGTTCAACGTGTGATGCATTTGTTTGTTCCGAATGACTGTTCAGGGTTCAACGTGTGGTGCGTTCGTTTTATGTTGTTCTCCCTGATAGCTTGGAGGTTTAACGTGTGATGCATTCGTTTGTTCCGAATGATTGTTCAGGGTTCAACGTGTGGTGCGTTTGTTTTGATGATGTTCCGAACGATTGTTCAGGGTTCAATGAATGGTGTGTTAAGTCAGTCAATGTTTACGAGTGATCGATTAATCAGGCCTGAGGTGATTCCATATCTCATGTTTGTTAAATTGGGAGTTTGGAGTCATTGAAATTAGATTCATACTGTATTTATACAATGACATTAAATTATGTGTTTTGGGCCCAGGCAGGATGTTAACAATAACAGACCGTTTGGGGTGTTTAGCAGAGAAATAAAATGTGTCATCCCACAAATCCTGAGTTACGGTTGTTAGATGTTGTTGTATTTGGAACCTGACTTCAATGCAATGACATGATTAGACAAATGTACAATGTATGGAAAGCTTGTCATTCCAATGTGAGCTACACATTAACAATAACGTATGTAGATGAAGAATATAAACGTCCAATAACTAAGGTTAATTGAAACCTTCCGACCCTGAATGACTGTGCTAAATGATAATGGAGTTACGCAGCATGGGTAATCCTATTAAATCTTGGGCACTTTTACGCAGGTTTGTGTCGGCATTCGTCACGGCTGGCAGGATGCGACTAGTGATGCTGCACGATGCAAAGAACGAAGATGGCATTAAGAGCTTCTTCACTGAGATCTACGAGACTTACACAAAGGTGGGGCCATAATAAAAATATAGTTCATATGCCCTCATCCGACCCACCCACCAAAAAGGGGCCCGACTCAAAAATTTTTATTGGTCTTTCCTATTCTTTTTTTACAAATTGTATCACTATACATTATGTAAATCTGTAGGCAATACATTATATGTACCAAACAAAACAAACATTCAACATAAAAGGTATCTCCACACAAGCTCACCTGAGCATGTAGACACCATGCTGAATTTGTAAAAAGACCCCCCTCAAAACAAAAAAAGCCTACCTACCTACCCAAACTTTTCAGCCTGGGTCGGGTGAGGGCAAATAAAGATTTTTTAGCTCACCTTGACATCGTCAAGCTGAGCTATTGCCATGGGTCGTCGTCCGTCGTACGTCCGTCCGTCAACATTTCGCTTCGGTCAACGATAACTCAGGAACTGTTTTACCCACATGTTTGAAATTGGGTATAGTTGTTACTGCTATGCTCCCATATGGAACGTCCTATTTTGGAGCACGCCAGTCGATGTACTTTCGAGCCACGGCAATTTTTTGGCAAAAATGGGAATTGCCATTAATCAGTTCAGGTTCAACGGATTTTGCTAATTTTTGGTATGTGAATGAATAAGGCCTAGGGGTTTTGATATTTAAAAAAAAATTATGCAAATTAGATAGGTTTATGCAATTTATGCAAAAAACGCAGATAACAAACAGTCTGTGGTGTCACACTCGTCTGGTTCGTTTTACAAGATTTCATTGACAATATCTTTAATGCAAAATTGGTATTTCCTCTTCACCCTGCCGATAAAACGTCTATATTAGAGTAAAGTTTTACAAAACATGTCGGAACGCAGCATAACCTATTTATTTCGAATGCCATCGCTACAAAGCGGGTATAGCGCCATCTACTGTCACAAATTGTGATTCATTTTGGTTTATAAATTATTATTGCGATATACAGATGGCAACCGTGTGCTACTGCCTAGAAAAACTCATACGAAGTAAACACTTCCATGCAACCAATTAACCTTTGACAAAAGTTGTGTTATGGGCAGGGAAACACCATTGTCACGTGGTACATAGCAGCTACGTGGAATAAGCGTATCCTCTCAATCTTACACGTTACACATCGGGAGCTCCGCTTTTAGGCAGTGCCTAAATCTGAATATTATAAAAACGTTATTTGTGGTGAGCTACAGTGTCATTGACACTTTCATTTAATTGTGGCCTGATGTGCTACCTGTGAGCTAGATAGGGCTCATCCAAGCTCCCTGGCTAACAATACAATCCTGTATAAATGTGTCTGCATTCGGCTACCCACTTCCCATTTCTTAGAGAACCTGCCTTCTCACTGTTTCCCAAGCTCCCTGGCAAACAACACAATCCTGTATAAATGTGTCCAAGTAGAGCAGTGCATTCGACTACCCACTTCCAAATTATCAGAGAACCTGCCTTCCCCCCTGTTTCCCAAGCTCCCAGGCAAACAACACAATCCTGTATAGTATGTCCAAGTAAAGCAGTGCATTCGACTACCCACTTCCCCAGAGAACCTGCCTTCCCCTCTGTATACTGCAACGTTCGGACGGTCCGGTGCACTTTACTTACCAGTATGGATTCTGCATAGTGAAGCAACCCACACTGTGGTAGAGACACACACGTGAGGGATACCAGGCTGCAGGAATGCACAAGGGTGGTGGGAGAGTTGAGCGACCATACTGGGACGTTTGCTAGTCTCGGAATTACAATTTGCAAAGCCCAGCTCTTGTAGGGCATTGCTGATGCGGACTCTGTATTCTGTAGTGGAAGAGCCTACCCGCAAAACCTCACATTTGCTAGTTTGCTATTATTAAAGTGTCTACAGTTCGTGCCCGTCTGAAAATGATTAGTTTTTCTGTTTTGAAGACAGTGACGGGTCAAAGTCCTTAAGACTGCAGTTAGGATCCATGTGACTAAAAGCAAATAGAGACAGCATGAGTCAAAGGCAATGTGTGGGTGCCTTGATCTTTACACACAGACGGTGTTTAGTAGAGCGCTATTCATATTGTTTACTGTCTAATAAGCTGTCTCGCAAAATCTTACTCATGAAAATTTTATAAAAATTAAAAAAATTGAAATTGAAATTTAATTATCATTTTATCAGAAAGTGGAACAACTATTAGAGAGCTGGGGTGGTAAATAGGTATGGTGTGCATGGCTAGAGGAAATAGCTGGTAGACTGGGTAGAATGTCAGAGGTATACTGGGCCAGAGGACATGGGTGGCACAAATGTCTAGAAAGTTGTAGCACACATGTCTGGAAGGCAGGGGTGGTGCGATTCTCTAGAAGTCATGGGTGGGTGGTTTGCACGTCCAGAAGAAAAAAAAGTTCTAGGCGTGTGTGGTACCCAGAACACGTGGTTAATACTAATAATAGATGAACTATAATTTTTTGTGATACACGGGTGGTACATATGATCAGGATATGATTGGATGATGTGGTATTAGTAATTAGTTATTGGTATAAGTGTGATACAGTGGTGCGTACCTATGCTACTCCAGTCCAGGTTACAGAGCAATGTAAAGCACACATTGGCAGTACAGGAATATCCTATATGTGTTTATACTGTAAATTCACTCTACCAGCTATAGTAAACTAGCTAATTGGTGCATATATCAGTTGCCAGCTTAGTAGGTTGCCGTTTTGTAATAAGTGTTTTCTTCTCTTTGTAGCATGCCCTGAACCCGTTCTACGAACCAAACTCGCGCATCAAGTCAGTCGCCTTTGACAGGAAAGCTCAGATATATGCTCGCAAGTTCTTGACTGGATAACCGTCAATTGAGCATTTGATTGTCAGTCAAATGATATCGATTTGACGTATGATCTTCGATCAATTGACACTGATTGGAACATAAATCGATGAACATTGTTTGGATACTAGAACAGTGGTCGATCGATGCTGCTTAAACATTTCCTCATCGACGGATTAACATCAATTGAACATTTTTTCTTTGAAGCAGTAAAACACCTAGAGGCTTGACGCAATATCTAACACATAATTATCTACGTGTGTTCCACATTTGCTAACAAACTCGAACCTCGAGTAGAAAGCGCCCCCGCAGTTAACTACGTTCACGCGATACGAGAACGATGGCGGCGCAACCTGGCGTAGTCTTCGTTTTCAGCGGCAAGCGTAAGTGCGGCAAAGACTACGTTGCCGAGCGTCTGCGTGAGCGCATCGGCGCCGACTGCAGCGCCATCTACAGGCTGTCCGCGCCACTAAAAGAGCAGTACGCGCGCGACCACGACCTCGACTTTGCGCGCCTGCTCGACGCGAGCGCGTACAAGGAGCGTTACCGTGGCGACATGATCCGATGGGGCGAGGAGCAACGCGAGCGCGACCCGGACTTCTTCTGCGAACTGACGGCGGCTGGCGCGCGCGATGCCGGCGCCCCCGTGTGGATTGTGAGCGACGCGCGTCGCCGCACGGACGTCGCGTTCTTCCGGCGGCGATTCGCGCGACAGACGGTGCTTGTGCGGGTTGTCGCGTGCGAGGCGACGCGGCGTGCGCGCGGCTGGACGTTCACAGAGGGCGTCGACGATGCCGAGTCGGAGTGCGGACTGGACGAGGGAGTCGCGTGGGACCACGTCGTCGAGAACGACGGCAACGAGACGACGTTAGAGCGCCACCTGGATCGGTTGCACAGCGACGCACAGTCCAGTCTAGAGGGCGCTAGTTTGTGAAGCGAGGTACAGTGCAGGCTAGATGGCGCTAGTTTGTGAAGCGAGGCACAGTCCAGGCTAGATGGCGCTAGTTTGTGAAGCGAGGCACAGTCGAGGCTAGAGGGCGCTAGTTTGAGAAGCGAGGCACAGTCCAGGCTAGATGGCGCTAGTTTGTGAAGCGAGGCACAGTCGAGGCTAGAGGGCGCTAGTTTGAGAAGTGAGGCACAGTCCAGGCTAGATGGCGCTAGTTTGTAAAGCGAGGCGCAGTTGAGGCTAGATGGCGCTAGTTTGTGAAGCGAGGCACAGTCCAGGCTAGATGGCGCTAGTTTGTGAAGCAAGGCGACGGACATTTTGTCGGCATTGCTACAGTTTTGATTTAGTTTGTTAGTAGCTAATGGTATTTGCAATGTTACTGAGTGACCTCTAACCACTTCTAACGACCTTGAAATCGAAATTAATCGTCGTTGTAGTCGTAAAGTAATGACAATTCTTATAAAGATAAAACTTGGAAATGATGTTTAGATACTAGTTGTTGTTTAGGACAAAACGTAATGAGTTGGATTAATTAGTATTCTGTAAACATTCCTTATCATTAACTAGGTCCTAAGCTGTCATTAACGAAGTGTGATCGAGGCTGTTGGATGGTACTCATGGAATCACATTGCGACCTAAGCCACTCAAGATTTATGTCGAGGTGATCATGTCCTCAGCCAAATCTGGTCAGCTATGCAACTAATAGCTAATGTGTGAAAAAATCTTCTAAGTTTACGTTTTGGTTGGAAGTCGAAATATGTAGTCGGGTCATTTGGCCCCGTGACTGTACAGACGTGTGAGCATACAGTAATGTCATGAATAAATAAATACATAAATAAATATGTATATATATACTCATAGTATGAGTAGGCATGTATGTGATAAGTGTATACATATATTCATGGTAATATAATGTTGTATGCCTAATTGTGTGTGGAGTTAATGGGGACTGGCTCTAGCACAGGCATTTTTACAGCACCTGGCCACCATACTTTATCAGTATACTAACAGAAAAGTGGGAAGATTGAAATCACCAAAACCCAGTAATTGGTAACGTTTGCTGCTCCAGTTTACAGGGTAGGAGTGTCTGTAGATCATGTGAAAATGAGAAAAATAGCTGGAAAAACTGTTCAGCTGCTCGACTCAGAATTTCAGTCTGCGTGTTGTAACTATAGAAATAATACTAGTTAGCGACTATCTAGTGTCTCTATATATTTCTATAGTTGTAACCTACATACACGCTGTGTTAGGGTGAACCTATGTATAATCAGGCGGTTAATAATGACAAATTTGTCATTATTAACCGCTGGTATAATCAATAAAGATGTGCATGGGTTCATTGTGGTGACACAATTAGAACGCAGCAGTTTCCGTTTACAATTTAATCTTCCAGTTGACACATGTACATGGAAAAGCTTGAAATAAATAAAGCCGGTGTTACTATAAGTAACAGTTGTTGTTTCTAGTCATCATATCATTATAATGTATATATACTTAATGAAATCTACATGTGAAAATGAAGACCTGATTAAACTTGATTAATCAGTTTACGCATAGACAAGCATAACACGTGCTTAGTCTACTCTCATTAGATTATGACATTGCCATCAATTCATCAATGACATTTGCATGCATTCATTATGATGATAGAAGAATATTGATTAAATGTTCCAGGACCGTAGGCTGAGCAAATTGTTAGGGGAGGGGGGCAAAATTTCTTGACTCAACTGTGTAATGATGAGCGACAGGCACAGCTCTTGATTGACGTCCATAGTGTGGTAGGGGTGGGTCTGAGACAAGGCTTTCACGGATAAGTGACCAAAAAAATCAGGTTAGGGTTATTTACGGTTATTAGCGAAGCTTATTTTGTAATTTTGCTCCAAAAGCTAGGGCAGCTGCTCTCCTTGAACCCCCCCCCCCCAGAGGCTACGGCCCTGCATTATGACATTGCCAACAATTCATCAATGACATTTGCATGCATTCATTGTGATGAAGATAGAAGACTATTGATTCAATGCTCAATAGTGGAAGACCCCGGTTAATCAGAATTACTAGAAGAAGAATAAACACGACGAATATATACCAGTGGTACAATAACCATAGCTACAACATAGCACGTATATACACGCACTGTGACGCACTATATATATACGTGCGTACACACATATATATAGACGTATAGAACCACGTACGTGTATATATATATATGTGTGTACGCGGTTCTAGGACAATCACCCCCGGACAATTACCCCCCATGCCATTCACCCCCCGGACAATCACCCCCCAGACAATTAACCCCCGGACATTTACCCCCAGACAATTACCCCCCGGACATTTACCCCCCGGACAATTACTCACTTGGTGTTTATTATTTATTGTTGAACAGTGATACGGGGAGAGTGATACAGGGAGGAGGTCGAGCGAGGAAGGGAAAGCAAGGTGAGGGGCAAGAGCAGGAGGCGGGAGAGGTGGTGGAGGCAGAGGAGAAGAGAAGGTGGAGGCAGGAAGGAGGGGGAGAAGGTGGATAGGAGGAGAGAGGAGGGCAGAAGTTGGAGGAGGAGAGAGGAGCGGAGGGGAAAGAAGGTGGAGGAGGAAAGAAGGACGGAGAAGCCGTGGAGGATGAGAGATGGCCAGGAAGGAAGAGGAAGAGCAGAAGCGAGGGGCAGAGTGGAGGAGGGTAGAGAAGGAGGAGGGTAGCGGCAGGGCCAGGTACTGCTGCGAGGAGGAAAGCGGATAAAGGTGGTGGAGGCAGCGAGTAGCATTGGTGGCGGAGAAAGTGCGTGGAGGAGGAGGAAGGAGGGAGGAGGCTAGAGGGGGTGAATGGCATGGGGGGGGGTAAATGTTCGGGGGTAATTGTCCGGGGGTAATTGTCTGGGGGTGATTGTCTGGGGGGTATTTGTCCTGATACCATATAGCACGTGCTCTGGCTACAAGCAACCTCGCTTTTTCGCGGCCCAGACCTAGTTTAGCAGCCCTAGTTTAGCATACATATGCGAACTATATATACAGGGGTCCCAAACTAGGATTGAACACCTTTCACTACGTCATGGCGTGAAACAGTCGCAGAGCCTGGCCAGGCTAATATCACCAATGTGAAAGTATTGCGATTGGAAGTTGTCTATGTGTGACAAGGTGTCTTTAACATAGTGGCATTATTTATCATGTCAAAATACTGCGTATGGGTTCTCCATTTTATTTGCATAATAACAGGAGTAGATAAAGGGAACTCTTTATCTTTCTCTTTATCTACTCCTGATAATAACAACGGAATAGTAATTCTATAAACAGATACCGGGCATGAACGTATATCTGAGCATTTACTATAGTATAGCAAGAATTCGAGACAGGCCCGTAGGAAGGTATATGAAATTGAGGGGCAATGGGTTATAGACGCGCTTTAGAGTGTGTGAGGGGCGTAAAGCGCCGAGATGGGGGGATGGCCTGGAACGGGGGTGTCAAATTTTTTAATTTTTAATATTGAAATGACGCTTTCTCGTGCATTCTGGCATTGCAAATGTTACATTGTACATGTAAGCTGGGAGAAAAGAATGAAACGTGCATGAATGATATGTGCATTATGTAACAAACGGTTATATACATAGTTAATGTATGTGATGAGCAACACATAATGTCCAAGAATAGATATGTCTATTCGGTCGGTGTGGCGGTGGAATGTATTGAAGATTTTGTCGACTTATCAAAAAAAATCCCGAAAATAAAATGCCTATGAACAGGTTGATATAATCTTTGTTACTTCTTTGTGCACATGCATGGTCATTATGCTGTTGAAATGTATCAGTGTGTACTTGTCCAAAAATCAATGTATTAATGTTGAAACTGTTTTTAGTTATTTTTGGACAATTGATAGTGGCTGTAACTTAAACAAACTTCTGGAAATTATTGGAGGGGGGCAGGCGCCCCCCCCCCTAGTTCCTACGGGCCTGATTCGAGAAAACGCCCTATCAAAGTAAGATCATAGATACATGTATACATAGATGTACATGAACATGAACATGATACATGAACATATACATGTACATATTTATCTTGGTAAAATACTGCGTATGGGTTCTCCATTTTATATACATAATAACAACGGGAATAGTAATTCTTTTAACAGATACCGGGCATGAACATATACCTGAGCATTCACTATATGGTATGGTGGAAATTCGAGAAAACTGTATGCAATATCAAAGTGAGATCATAGATAACCTACAAGTACATATTTATCATGGCAAAATACTGCGTGTGGGCTCTAGCAGAAATTCGATAAAACTGTATGCCCTATCAAAGTGAGATTATAGATACATGTATTGTATATAGTATTATACAAACACAGTGTGTTTGTATATATCTATGTATATATCTATGGTGAGAATCAGATGTATTGCAGATTGGGAGAGTTTACACAGCAAGTACTGGGCTCTCTATTTTATATGTGTGATTTCAACAGAGTAGCTGGGATACCACTGTAACCAAGCGTGCGCTGACACACGCGCGAATAATTTTTTTATGAGCGTCTGAAAAACCTGCAGAGACAGCATGACGTACATGATGAATATGGCTAGGAAGAAGTTTCATGAAATCTCTCAGGTTAATAACCTGCTAAAGCAAAACAAAGATATTTGTCACACTCACCAGTCACCGCAGCGATAAGTCCTCAATCTCTGGCGAATTTAGCTTTGTTGGACCCTTCTTGTTCATAAGATTGTTATCCTACAAGTTAAGGTCGTCGAAGCCACGTCGCCGTACAGAACACGTGCGACCATAGAGAGATATATATATATCTATGGTGCGATTGACAATAAAGAATAGGCCCGGGAAGGTGTGCATTTCAGGAGTTTTAAATAACGTGAACGGTGTACGTGAGAAATTTTATGAGTCAAAATGAGTTTATGAAAAATATTCCAAGAGATTTTCAAATGCGGCCCGAGCGTTGGATCTACTACCAACTCCGTGAATTGCACCTGCATTAATGGGCTACGACCTGTTCGAACTATAACGATTAACTTTATTTTATATAGGCCTACACATCATTTTTTAAGGGCTGAAATGAAGCATTCGTTGATACCTTGTTGAAGAAAAACTAAACCAGAGTAGGGGAACGTTATCAGAAATATCGTAATGTCTAAAATGTCAATACTTTTGTACATGACACTTCACTTCAACATCTGGACTTTTAATGTCATAACTACTAATAATAATGTTTCTGACAATATAATAAGATAAAAAAAAACGTTTAAAGCTGCTGCTATTAAACGCGCGCGACATAATATATATATAATATCATAGTAATCATTTTCCAACGCGAACACGTTCTAACGCTTCATCCTTTTACTTAAGGTGCCGTCACACCATAGCGATCACCAGTTGCGTATGGTTGCGAATAAAAAATAGTGGGCAAAAGTTCCGAACGGCCAAGCTCACCACGCAAACTAATAGGTTTATAGTTTGAAGTACGCAACAAGCACGCAGCGTGATCGCAGACCACTCCGCAATAGTAAAGTGCCGTCACACCATAGCGATCACCAGCTGCGTCATCGGTTGCGAATAAAAATACGTGGCATAAGTTCCGAAAACGCCCAACTCCACACGCCAACTAATAGCTTTTATACGTTTTGAAGTACTGCCGCAACAAGCACGCAGGTGATCGCAACACACGCAGCAGTAAGTCAGAAATTTTGAACTATTCAATAATTCTCTGGCCGAATGCCTGCGATCAATTTATAAACGCAACGGGACGCAACAGGTACGCTACGCACGGAACACCGATCGCAACACGATCGCTCAACACGATCGCAACACGCGAGTCGCAACTAGGTACGCAACCTCATAAGCTATGAACGCAGGTGGGGATGCGCGGAGGCGGTGCAAAGTTGACGTTATCCTGCCAGGTTTTGTAGCGACAGCTTGCGAATGTGTCCTACCTGTTGCGATCATGTTCGCGATCGTGTTGCGTTCCGTGTTGCGATCATGTTGCGTGGGTAGCGTATCCCCCAACCTACTGCTGGCTGTATTCCAGCGTATCCAAAAAACCTATTAGGTGCGTCGCTGGAGTTGCGTTGCTTAGTTGCGTACTACATGCGTGGGTGGGAAATGGTATAAATAATTGCGACTTTTCTAGATCCGGTAGTAGTGTTGTGACCTCCGAGGTGGCAACATGCCGAGCTACCTCTTGCTTATATGGATATCAGTTTTAATCTGAGTCATTTAGCACTCCAACCATACAGAATAGAAGGTAAACAGAAGGGAGAAAAGAAGAAGAAGAATCAAGAAGAAGAAGAAGAGAAGAAGAAGAAGAAAGATAGATGTGGGTGTTAACCATAGATAGTATAGGCAGGAGCCTTGACTTAGCCGTCTCTACGACAGCTTCGGGTGGAGCTCCGAACGAGCGCACCAAGCGGCATTCAAGAACTCAATGAGGCATGCCCCCCGAGATCCGTACGA